ACACACACACATTCACTTCACTATTAGATTATTGCATTAAACATTTCATTTTTTTTTTTTTTTTGTTTTTATATTTCTTTTGATTTTACTGACATCTAATCTTACGCTCATGCAATGCGAAACACTATGCAATTCGGTATTTGCGAGCATTGGCCTGATCTAGAAGCGAAAAGCAAAAAAAAGTAAAAAAAAAAAAGAAAAAATACACAAACACTCAAAAATTTCAACTCAGTTCGGCTGTGTGCCGCTTTTCTTGTTACACATTCAGTTTGAATTTGAACTAAAAAACAAAAAAAAAACCCAAAGAAATAAAAAAAGCAGAAAAGAAGGAAAAGAAACAAAATAAAAAGCAATACTGCTCTCATAACCGGTCTGCTCGTAAGTGTGTATAGGGTGCTGCTGTTGGCTTAAGTTAGTCTGGTTATATTTGTGCTTGCATTGCAGTCTCCATACCTATATGTCTGTCTGTCTGTCTGTCTGTCTGTTTGTCTGATTGAATGCTTGGCTGGCTGGACTACCTAAGCTATAGAAAAAAACCCGTCTGTACATGAAATAAATTTTCAAAACGTTACTTACACCCATACGCAAACAAACACACACACATACACACGCAGATATATATCTATGTATATATTTGCTTATAAACATTCAGACATTGCGTGCCTAGTCATAAATAAGTTCAGCTTAAAAAATTTTATTGACTTCTTTCAAAAAATTTTTTTATTTTCATTTAAATTCAAAAAAAAAAGAAGAAAACTTCGTTTCAAGTCAAAATAATTTTAAGGTGAACGTGTATTACGTGTTAAACTCTTTTAAATATGTTTTTAGATATTTACTGCTAATGATGTTAAGTAAAAATTATGCAAAAATTTACATGATTTCTTTTAAAAATTATTATTATAATTTACGGTTATGTTACTTTTATTTTTTTCTTACAAATCCCAAAAGTATATTAAGTTAATCAAAACTTTATATCGCTTAGAAGTATGTTATTAAAAATTGCATATAGATTCGCAGAGCAGAGTGAACAGGTGTGAATAGATGTGTTTCTCCTTATCCTGGTTTGGGTTTTCAATACTTTATTTGGAGTCTTTTGTTTCGAATTTGGCTAAATATTTGACCATAATCAGCGTAAAATTAGATATCGATAGGTAAAGTAAGTAAACCATGTAATGTCATATCAGGAGTGCATAAAACGTACCCGAAGTGTTCATTTTTTCACAAATTTTGCTAATATAATAAATATACAGCTTAGATATTGATGCTTGTACGATATAAATTTCAGTGGTTTACAATCTGTTCTACAGTGTCTATTAAGATGTAAAGAAATGGATGTCACTCCGATCTTTCTATTTAAACTGCAGCTGAAAATGCAGCTGGAGCTATGGAAATGACCAAGTCGGCTTTGACCGGAAATGCAATAACCTATGACTATGAAACAGTTGAGGAGATTTCGTGCAAAAAAAGTTTTATTTTGAAAACAATGAAGTTTGTGTATGTTTGTCAGCAAAAGTAACCCAGGAAGTGATATTCAACTTGGGATTAGAGCTTTCCTCCCGTTTCGCGATTATTCTCTTCAAACTGTCTCCTTCTGAGTAGCTTTAGTTTAACTGATTATTCTCCAGAACTTTCTCTTCCCGATTAGCATTGGCTCAGGTCGATGCAATCATATTTAGCAGATCAGCGTTTCTACAAAGTTAAAGATATGCGAAAATGAGTCAATGCCTGAAACATAAAACTTTAGCCCCCAGACTAACCGCGAGCTACATGGTAAGAGGAACAAGACAATGGATACTGAGGTTAAATATTTCGATTATTAAGTTTTGTAACAAGTATTTTTTAATTAAATTTGAATTTTATTAAAAAAGTTACAGAAGTTCTTTGTACGCCTTATAAATAGATATAGTCCTGTTTAACATGTTTAACATGAACAATGCGCCTTATTCAACTCTATTGTCAGCTGGCATTATTAATATTAAACTGACTGCCAATACTTAGAAATACTGATCAGCAATTTTTTCTTTTACTTTCATGGAATTACGTTAAAAAATTAAAGAAAATTATCCATGGCATTCACTAAGCTATGGAGCATTCTAGAATCTAATTTTCTTGCTTGTTGCATAGAAGAGAAGAAGACGAAGAGGAAGTTAGCATCTTAGTCATGTGATTTGTAGATGGGTTATGAAAACTATATATATATGCTGGGAACGCAAGTCGTCGAGAATTTTTCTGCCTGACTGACAAACTGATCTCTTCAATATTTTATGCAAAGTCATAATATTAGAAAAGCTGAAAACCAATATCGAATTTCACTTTTATCCGAATTAGGTTCGGAAATACGGCTTGTCATAATTAAAAGTGGTCTTGATACTTTAATATACTTGCTGGCATATCACAGCCTTTCTGCGGGCAAAGACTGGCAATGGTTGGGACAGTTTGCGGAACTGGCAGCAGACGTTAAAGTAAAAAGGACCACGTGTTCTCAATTGGGATGTCCATGTGTCTAACTTTCTTTTCGATCTCCTTCTCTAAATAAGAGTTAGCCTGTAAAGTTTGGGGAATTTTCTTAATGGACCTATGACAACGTAACGATGTATTTGCAACATGTTGGATTAACCCGTTACGTATCCGATTTCCACATCGAATGGCTTTACCATGTTAACAACTGCACATTTAGCAGTCTTTCTCCCGAAAAGTAGGTTTACATCTAGTGCTACGTCATGCCCCATGTTAAGTTCTCATGTCATTACTGTCCTTATAGACAATGTTTCGTCACTCTTTACCTTATGGATATTTAATCGCTACTTCTGCGACAACCCTATCAACTCCGCACCTGACGGCTGCAGCTGCATCGGAATGCTTCATAACATTTGTTTTTTCGTTTTTGAGAGAAACAATCACAAACAACTAACATTCGGCTCTTA